CATAATGGGCAACAATTTTAAACTGCACTATGAATTTCAGGTTTTCTCTTAGCCTCAAGAAATAATACTGGCCACGTAACTTTAAAACCAGGTGACATTTTTTTTAACCCTCGTGCAACGTCACGAGTTTATTGTTGATTTTCGCCACAGGTACTTCTTTTCCACTTGCCGTGCAAATCCTTTAGCTGGATTTCGATTTGGAGCAAATCAAAAGAGGGGCATAGTGCCTGATCGTTATTTCTGTTGTTGGATGGGTTTGATTGCCAGAAATTTGGCCACATGATGGCTCGGTTCTATGTTGGTGATTCTAAAAAGGCATTTGTTTGTTACGATTCGCGTTAGTTCTAAAAACAGCGGTACCTGTTCATCAATAAAAATATTATGCTCCGTTTATAGGCATCTAAGACTGAAGAAGAAGATAAACGAACATCAGTGGGTTCAGTGAACTTTGAACTTTGAGCTTTGACCTATCAAAATCCATGGCAATGATTGCCATACCTTCTATTAAAATTTATTGACTACCGATTCTTCCATTACAGCGGTCAAAGATCTGCACGGAATCAGCATCTACATGCCATTTCACCAACATTATGCACGGTCGCACTTAAATTTCATCTACGTCTCATACGGAACAGTTGGCTGAATGCCACTCGTTCGCCGCTTAGGACATGCAGAGTTCAGACTGTGATGTTAGTGCAGCTGGAGACGATTAGGTGATCTTTCACTAGATTCCAGTGATATTTTCTCATCACCTTCAATTTCTGACAGAACTTAAGAAATTAGATACAGTGGCCATTCCTATGACATTGACCTTGGGTTGCTGCACTTGCCATCTTCATGTACGACGAGGATGTTGGTACTGTATACAATTGACGACATTGCCACTTTATTGGTACACAAGACCTTAAACAATTTTGGTGATTCGGCTTGACCTCAGATGACCTTAATCAACACTGAACCATTGATAGCACACATCAGGCACTTTCTTTATCGTCTTCATGGGATGTATGAATCAAGGTACATTGTTTTCATGATTGGGTCTGAAAATCCGATTACAGCAACGAAATAACATTACAAATGGTCACGAACATTGAAAAGCTCATGACATAACTGAGATCTACCTTCAAAACCCTTAAAAGAAGTTCTGATGTACACAGACCTAGGAATGCATCACATAAAGCCAATTTTCAACATTTTCGTTGCGCAGCGATTTGAGAACTAGGTGATGCATCAGTGCCTTGGCAGTGACAGTGACAGTGACAGTGAAAGTGACATAATATAACTCTGAGGCCTGTCCATATTTTATTTACGATGCGCTGAACAGCAAGAAAGATAAGTTTGAAAACAGCAGGGGTTGCATTAAGATTCTTTACTGGCGGGAGTGGGTCCTGCACCTGCACGGCCTTGCACAGAATGGGTGGTTGAACATGTTTTTCCCGCACTGAAATTTTAAGACATCGCAGAAAGATCGTGATTGGCTTAGCGGGCATGAAAATTAGCAGCAATAATGCGACCGGCAGGCTCGACCATGACCAAAATGTGATCTGATAATCGATAAGCGCTCGTTACGGACCGATCGACAATGGTCGGACGTTGCGGTGCTGATTGCATCAGCCCCTATATCGATAGTGAAGGGAGGCCCAGAGGGATGAGGATTCACACAGCTGGCAGCCAAATGACGGCAGGAAGCACGTATCATGACCGAGGCAAGGCTCCAACTCAGCACAGCCCAAGCTAAGTCATGTGAAAGGGGTAGATGGGCTCAAGCCGATGCAGAACAGGGGGCCATATTTCGACTAAAAGAAGATTCCATCGCTTTGCCAGGGAGTCAGTGTCATGGAGAGCCCGCATACGGCAAGAGGTCCGTACCGTGACTGTAAACCGGCCCCACCCGACGGAGGTAATATGGGTCGTCTATCAAGACCTTTTGAAAACGCTGCGCCTTATCCTGAGATAGCTTTTCTGATACCTAAGGCCTGATATACCTCTGATATCTCTGATACGTATGGCTGTATAGGCTTATTATGTACTTAACATACCTCACAAATATAGTCGCATGACCACCAATACTTCTTATATAGACTTAGGATTTCAAGACGTGCCTCAGTCCTTAGCTTTAGCCTTCAGCGGTGCTTTCTAGTAGCGCCACCTACATCAAATGTTGAAGCTTTGGTGGTTATTTTCAGCATCAGGTGGCTCCAAGGAGACGCCCAAGATTCACACGCAAGAGACCTGCCTACTGGTGTTGTGTGCTGGTTTAGTACTGTACTACAATGGCACGATGCATGCTAACATTGCACGCCGTTCAACCGGCAATTCCTGTCATTGCAGCAAGACCAAGCAACATCTGTAGGCACCTGTGGGTATGCGTCCACGACGGACTGATAACACTCCCCCGCATGACTTGCAACAATATTTGGCAATCGTGTGTGTCAGGTCAGGCGGCGTATCTGAGGAAGATGCAATGAGCCCTGCATTTACTGGAGTGTTCCAAATAAAGCTCTCAGCAAACATGACCGGCCTTCATTAAACCGAAATAGGCATAATAGGAAAATACGGGCCAAATTTGTAAAACACTACTACGACTCAGTTTCACAGCGCGTGGAACTAACCCGGGCAATGTCCGAACTGATGTTTATTAATTGGTAACACAAATTTCAGGTTGGCGTTTGCCTAAGATTGGCTTGTTGGCTTCAAATGGCCGGGGCTATGTCAGAAAAATGCGAAACGAAAACGAACGAAAAATGTGCCAAGTAGCCCAAGATTCAATACTTTAATATCACAAATGTACTTTTTCATGATGCTTTGACCTTCGGTAATATTTGCTTCTATTCGCGTGCTTCCCACCAGATTATTCGAAAAACTGACCACACCAAATGCTCGGCTTTAATGAAAACAAATGCAGGCGTCATCATTAAAATGACGAAAGTCGTATCACTTTGCCCTAATTGGCGACCTCGATACAACCAGCCCGGAGATGCTGGTTCTGCAAGACCAGGCTTCGGTGTTGTCCTCAAATTGCGAACGGTTAGATTAGCTGATTTGAATGGCTTTTGACGTGTTTGAGGGCCTTCTTAGCATTGTTTGATATGCGATCATTCCCGCACGGCGATGCGTCAAGACACGTCGCACGTCATTGGGTTCAAACCAAGTCAACATAAATCATAACGTTACGATAGGTCATTGGCGTGTTTTGCTGCATTCATGCTGCTTTAAAATGGTGAGAGTTATATTTACATGCCATATTTCAAGGCTACATCTACCATACATGACGTTCCAACGGCAAGCTGCGCACCAAGTGTGAATACATAATTGCAAAGACTTGTTTCTCTCTATCTCATGCCTGATTTGCGCAGCATTATCACTGCAGACATGGCGTGCAAGGTTACTACAATTCGGACTAACAGAAGGCATAGTAGGGGCACGTTTTTGGAGTTTTGACACAGTTCAAGCCCAGGCCAAACTTGATAAAGCACTCACGCGACGACATGAGCTATCAATTAGAAAACGCTTTTGATATTGGTTTCCCTGGTAAAGTTTCAATTGCAACATGTGTGACATTAAATAGTTCAGTCAGTGGAACGAACGGTCTGAACTCTCCCAAGCATGGGGAGCTGTGACGTAGGCAGATCCTTCCGGTGACATTAACTCACACAACGCAGACAGACATCGGAAAGACACACTCATAGAGCTAAGGAAAGCAATAACGTAAGCTGTTGAGTGCATTTACGAGGGGCATTATGCACACGATTAGACGGTAGCAATTACCTTATTCCTAGGAGAAAAACCGGGGAAGGGAGATATAGATGCGTCTGCTATTCGTTTCCATAAAGGAATGTCGCCGAAACATCAACGCATCTATATCTCAATTCTCCTGGCTTTCCACGAGGAATAAGGCTATTACTACTGTCTTAGCTGTGAAACGGGCTACAGAGCTGCTTAGAGCTCTTTGGGGCGCTTGTGCCCGCAGCTAAGCCGCACATGACAAATGATCTTCAGTGATCAGGGAGTAAGCAATTATCTGCTGGATTGCGAGCCGGTGATGCCCATTCCGGACACTGCTAGTTTCAGAGACAGGACGGGAGCAGCCAAATTTTTTCGCCCATCACATCAGTAGCATCTGACTACTCCAGGCGTTGAGACCGCTTGATGATTTGAAGATGTTCAAAAGGAGCAGTCATAGCGCTAGTTCAAAGTTGGCGCCAAGTAGGTTTCTCTGCCTGGTACTGCAGCCTTTGTGGAATTTTACACAGATCATGATCTTAGATATTAATGGGTCGTAAAGTATCCTAAACGTAAGCAAGCACGCACGCTAAAGTAACCTAAACGCACGCAGGCGCGCACGTTAAAAGCACACACACACACACACACACACACACACACACACACACACACACACACACACACACACACACACACACACACACACACACACACACACACACACACACACACACACAGACATATATATATATATATATATATATATATATATATATATATATATATATATGTGCACCGGCCAGTCCGGGAGCTTGTTCATAAGGCTAGACACCCATTTGGGCTCCGTCCTGAAGCCCCACATAGCCTGACGTGGCTAATTCCCGCACCTTGGGTCACATCTGCACTTCGCTCTGAAGGCTTCCTAACCCAATCTGTTCTCCTCATCTTGCTCTGAAGACAACCATTTGCTGCGGTGTCGCACAACTGCTCAAAGAAAAGAAAAAAAATCCGAAGACGATTTTGGCCTGTGTAAAGCACAACTTGTAGCATGCCTGCGATTTCCCACGTTTTTAAAACTTTCGGCGCTCTTTACCGACCGTACGACTCGTAGTCCCCAACAGAGCGCTGACCGTCGCCTCCGACGACGCGTCGCACCCGACGGAGGAAGGCACGCAGCGCGCATGCGCTGACAGCGATCGATGGTGGCGCCACTCGGCGCCGGCGGCCCGCGAGTCGCGCCACGATGCTGGCCGCGGCCGCACCGCCGGCATGAGCGCGGCGGTCATGGCGCAGCCGGCGGCCGCGCGGCCCCCGAACGGCGGCCGCTTCGACTTCGACGACGGTGGCACCTACTGCGGCGGCTGGGAGGACGGCAAGGCGCACGGTCACGGCGTCTGTACGGGGCCCAAGGCGCAGGGCGAGTACTCCGGCTCCTGGCACTACGGCTTCGAGGTGTCCGGCGTGTATACGTGGCCCAGGTGAGCGCTCGAGGGACGGCCTGGGCGTGTGTGGAGCGCTAGGTCGCATTGGCGGCGCCTTGACTCCCCAGTGTTTGTCTCGTTCGTCTGGATGGAGCTCGAATGACCGACACAAGCCGGTAAAAACAGCAAAGTACAAAAAGCCCATGTCTGAGGAAAATCTACTTTTCAGGCCCGCGACGAACGTTCTGAAGTGCCGTCTCTGGATATGGGACTCGAGTGGGGGATAACGATAGAAGCATCTGCTGGTCGCAGCACGTGCAGGCTTGATAACCTGACGATGGCTGTGGGTGTGTGTTGAGTGCGCGCGCGGGCTACCGCGGGTGGGCGGGCTGACCGTGTCCTGTCAGATTTGGGTCAGTCAAGGACAGCTGTCATCGATGGGCGGCGTAACTGTCAGCTAGCCTTCGTAGGAAATGTTGCGGTGCTGGTGTGTGAGAATTAACCAATTCCTTCCATCATGAAAAATAGGTGAGATTAGATTGAAGTCCCTTAGGTCCCTATCCCTATTGGGATTAAATTGAAGCCCACCCCACTTTTTCGCGTTTTGAGGCGCCATCTATCGCCTGCTGAGGGGATGATGCTGCGGCTTTGACTCTTCACTTCATTGTGACTTGCGCCTTTATTGACATCTCGGCACCAGCTATTTGCTTCCATCAGTATACGCGTGAAATATCGACACACCTGTGCTGATCCCAGGTTGCGTGCATATTTTCCTGCCGTGCAATGAAAATGCAAGTGTCGCGTAAGTTATGGCACACGAATCATTAACTACAGTTCTCAGAAGTGTCCTGTCACGTGATATTGTTAGTTCCTGGATGGACGTCCACGCCAGCCCTGTGATCCTCGGGGACCCGCCCATGCCATGTCACCTGAAGCCTGTGCACCTGGCCAGGACGGTATGGTTGATCATTGTGTGCCAAACAGCTGGACGACACAACGTGCCTGCCGCCTGATCGGGTCCTGCCAAATCGTGCACGCAGGCGTGGTGTAACATGACATAAGGCGAAGTCTTAATTCACATCGATTGCCTTCAAATTATGTATGTATTTGTATTTGCCTTCAAATTATGTCACGAAGCCAGATAGTTAGCCGAATTATGCTTTTTTAATCCAATTTAAACTTTACCGTGCACTCAGCGTACGTAATATGTTAAAAAAAATCTTGCTCAATGGGGTGCCCCATAATTGTCCTTTGATTTAACAAATCAAATAGCGCAAGCCAAAAAACTCTGCTTGCTTCAGGGCTCGCTTGCTTGCTTTGAGGTATATTTATGAAAACAGGATATGTAACCTGTGGCCTTTTCTGGATTCAGTAGTTGTTCTTACATCATTGTACCACAAAATATGAATATTATAATTACGACCTAGCTAAACAAAATTTTTAGAAGACTTTCATCACCGATGAGTTAAAGACCGACATTGGAGCAATGACGTCCAGGACACTGAGAGAGCGTTACTTTCGAGATGCGGCCAGGAGAGATATAGTCAAGCGGGCCTGTCATTCCACGCCATTTCATGGCGCATCAAAATTTGACGGTGAAATCGCCTTCCAACTGGAGCCACTGTGCTGGAAAAGCGGTGTCAGTGCCCTCGCAGCAAACGGCGACTCCGCAGTAACTGGTCCCAAGGCCGACATCCCAGCGAAACGTTCGGTCGCTTTTCTTTAGATGTGTTATCTCGAGGTATTTCGTGCTTTAGAAACAGCCCTCCACATTCCAGAAAACTTTGCTGTCATTAACAATAAAGTGTCGCATGATATTAGACACGAAACCGATAACCTGAACCCGGAATACAAACGAGACACTTTTTTGCCTTAACTTTATTCATTAGCTGAAAATGTTTGGCGTAAATGCCTGTCGTAAAGCGCTGGCATTCCTAACCGATGACAACCGGGTTTTACCTTACGAGCTGCCCTTTGATTTCATACCATATTTACGTTCCAGATCATACGTTAGAGGCATTTCTCCGCATTGACGGCAGTTACCAATGTTTACAATGCCTGTTAACATATGAACAACAGCGAAATAGCGCATTCAATTCATTTTCGTACTTCACTAAGGCTGGCAAAACTCAGTGCTTAAAGGAAGTGTACCACATTGACATGGGGTTTCGAACTGAAATAGCCATCTTAGAGATCTTTCGGTGCTATTCACAATCCTGCCATTCCTGAGACCGATGCCGATCTATTACCTGAACTACATGCCCACGAAAAGGAGCAAAGTTATATCTGCGAGAGCATTTCAAAGTGACCTTGGCATTCATGCCGTCATAAAACGTCATTCGAATCCGACCATTCTATTCGTGATGCGACAATCAAGGCCAAAACAAATATGATTGTCGAGGCATTCATATCTGGCGTTTGTGAGCGCCATTTCCAGATATGACGGATATCAATTGACTCTCAATCAGTGTTGTGCGAGGCACGATGACATAATTAAATTATGACGCATTGATGAACACATTTACTGAACAGAATATTCCGCCGTCTGGAGCAGTCCTTTTCACTTAAAAAGTACACCAATAGTTGCAAGTGAGTTCGTTTCATCGTATCTGGTTCTTGCTTCAACATCTTCAGCTACAAAATAGTTCATTTAACTTGGCATATGAAGTCGTAACCAATACCTGTGGCTGTAAGACTTACAGTTCAATGTTTATGCCAACACGCAATCACTTCACTCTCAGTTTGAAATCACGTCTGCATGATTTGTCTTGGGCCACAAGAAAAAAGCATGTTAAGCCTCAAGTAGTCCTTTATTCTGGTGATCCTACAGTAGGGAAGAAGAATGTTCATTCTTCGGGTTTAAGCCCTGTTCAATATTTAATGTCGAAACAACAATAACTAAAACGGCTCCGGCAGTATACCGATCCCGCCATCCGGGTGGCCTGTTGACGCTGCCTGATTGTTATCTATGTTCTAAGGCGACTAACAAGCGGATCGTTATCCGAGTGCACGACAAACACAACCCCGATCGATGGCCAGTTACTTTGCTCATAGTCAGTTCTCGTAAAGACGCAGTTTCAGGTATATGCCATCTGGTTTATGCGACCAATGATGCATCGATGATTATGTGGGGCTGGGGGGGGAGGGGGGGGGGGGGGCAAGGGATGGTCTTGAGCTCACGACGATCAGGGCAGCAAGGAGCGGTGTGGATCAGATGCTTCGCACTGACTCCACTTCCCTGTTTCTGAATGTGTAGGACTTCGCGCAACTTCTAAGCCGTCTGGTTGCCAATAGGTTGAAAGGACAGAAACAATTGTGACTCGACTGTATACCATCGACGATGCATCTGTCGCTTTATCTCTATTGCGACCCGAGATAAATGGGCAAGCAATTGCCCCCGCCCGGCAATGCTAGGTTGACGCGGAGCTACCACGCGGGCAAGATCAAAAGTAACCCCTTCGGAGCTTCTGGGGCAATGTGGGAACCGTTCCAAAAACACCCACCCAATCATCAGTATCAGTCAGGTTATCGCATCATGCATTTCCGAGTGAGTATTTTGTCATTGTCGTGTAGCAGAGTTCTAACACAATTAGCAAAGTTTCGCTGGGCGAGTTTTGTCTCTACATGCATTGACTGGTCGTTTCCTTTTTGTTGTAGGTCATTTTGGTTTGATTCGTCGACTACTTTCTCCGTTTGTCAATTAGCGTAAATCAGACTTTTCTAGTTTACACTAAGCCACCAACAGAAGTGATGCAATGTCGACTTGTAGGCGCTAGCACTGAAATGATTCGGGGAGCCCATTCGTGGTAGACGAAGCGCAATAAATGACTCATTTCAAAAAGATGATGTCATAGGTCATACGAATCAGCAGAGCAAAAGAGTAGTTGGCCTTTAAGGTAAAATGAGCTTGGCCTGGCACAACCTTGGCCTGGGATGTCGGTGGCCCAACATACCACTGAACTCGATGTACAGTGATTCAAGGATGACAACACTGGCTCACGAGCGCTGACTAAGCTCGGGATGAAATCGCATGTTTAGCTCGCACTCGCAACCGCCATGTTATAGCCCCAAAATTCGAGTCAATGTGTGACTGTCAACTAAGCTGGTCATCACACGGACCCCTCATGCGAAAAACGGGAATTCTGATTTGCGCCACGAGTGAAGTGAAAATCCTCGTATTTCTTGAGCGATACTCAGGAAGGACCTGTGGACAGAAGCCGACTTTCCCGACAATGAGCTGATTCTCACGACCGACCGATGAGCTGCTGCCGTTGGCGTCTATCATGATAATCCATGATAATCCATGATAATCCAAGACACGTTCTGCCGCTGCTTTGACACCTTTGGTCTGCTCCAGACCTCGCCAGGCCCGACCCAGCCCAGGCCCAGACCCGGCTCGGACAAGGTCCACATCTGGTTCAGACGCAGCCCGGGCCTCATTCAGACCCATGTCTGACCCAGACCTATTTCACACCCGCCCTAGACCCGGTCAATATCAGTCTAGACCTGACCCAGGACGGCCCGTCGAACCGCACTTGACCCAGACCAGGCCTCATCCAGACCCGACTCAGCCCTCGTCCAGACCCGACCCGGGCCTCGTCCAGACCCTGCCCAGGCGGGCCCGTGCGGCGCCGGTCACGGGCCAAGCCCGGGCGCCGCCGCGACGGCCCGCGACCTTGTGCCCCGGCGGTCGATGCGGCCAGGTAGCCCCTCCCCGAGCGCCGCCACCCCCACCGCCGGCGGCGTCGGGCGGCGGCCGACCGCGACGGCGGCCGGGGTGGCGGCATCCGGCGGCACGCTGGGTCGACGCGACGGCCCAAATACCGATGAGGCGACTGAAAAAGCCGGAAGGAGCGGCGAACGCTGACGTTCAGCAGCGATTTGGAGGCGTAAGAATGTGACACGCCGAGGAGGCTGCGCAGGGACAGCTTTAAAGGATATGGGCTGGTTCTGAGCGGTGTTTGCATGCTCGATTTAGGATGTATTTTTATCGAGTAAGAATGTACACCAACTTGACATTTGTGTAGATACATTCCGAACAGGATTTGCCATAGCGA